CAGGACACTCAGCGGGGTGACAGCAGAGCTCCTGGGGGCACACAGGATGGGCGGCGGCACCACCGGGGCACGTGCAATGGATGCTCAGACCAGCAGGGCTCACTGAACACCCACTCCACGCACCCCACGGCATGCTCCACACGCACTGCACAAAAAAGGCAATGGAGTGTGATATGCCAGAGTTTTGGAAGGACCGGCAGAGATCCAGGGAGTTTCTTAAGTGCCTGCAGCAGCAAGCAACCCCGCAGTCCTGTAAATCTCATGTGACCAAAAGCAGCTTATTGCCTCCAGTGGAAATTACTACTTTTTTTTTTTTTTTTTTAATTTCAGAGCCAACCTACCTGACCACTGCCTCCTTCCCGTTGCTGTATTTCAGGAAACTGAACAACAGCGAGGTTTAAGCGGTGTTCTGTCTCTGACATAACTTTGCACAAAGCTGCACACACTGCAAACAGTATAACACAGCCCGCTAGCACAGATGACGGCTGGCCAGACACCATCCAACAGCACAGAGGTTTCCTTAATTGGTGCTGCACACTTGAAAAACTTCCTAGCAATTCCACCCAGAATTTTCAGACTTTCCCTCCTGACTCGTTGCTTCTACAGCCAGATGTCAATCCTGATAGTGCTCCACAGAACTCATGTCCTCTGCCCCAAATGCCTTGGGCTACCTGTGCTCTGTCATCTGCCTCCCGTGCTATCTCCCAAGAGCCACCAACTCCCCCAGCTTCCCAGCCCCATCTGTGCTGCCCTGGCAAACTTTCTCACTCTAACATCTCTCTGGAGCATCAAGGCTCCCTTCAAAGGAGCTCAGTTTCATCACCATACTTGTATCATCCACTGATGTCTCAATGTGGAGCAGCTGACCTGTTAACCAGCTAAACTTGACTTCAGTAACCAGAAAATTTAAAAAGCCAACTATAAGGAAGGAACATCACCCTGGCAGCACAAGCATCCATGACAAAAGAGTTGGGTTACACTCTATTCTGTCCTGACTGGTACTTACAAACCTCTGCTGGTGGGTAACAGTGGATACACATCACTAGAGCCCATCATCGCACACGACATGCTTCTAAACATGCATTTGTCATGTAACACCTTTCTTCAATCCAGGTATTTGTTTCTCATATTGCTCACCTACGCACAGTCAAGAGCGCTGAGAAAAACGCTCTGGGCAAGGAACGAACAATCAGGCGGGCTGGTTTTATATTTACATTTCAAACAGATCTACCCACCGGACAAAATCTGCGTTTGGCTGCCAAAAAGGACCACGGCAGCTCGACGAAGGTGCCGCAGCTTGTTTGCCAGGTTTGTTTTTAAGAGGCAGCCAACATGAGTCCCTGCAGCTCGAAAACCGTTCACAACAGAGTGACACGCGAGCCTGCAGCCACCTGAGGTGCTCCTCAGTAGCCGGCCCCGGGGGAATTCGAGCCAAACAACAGCCTTCATTCACTCGCCTGCACTATTGATCAACTCGGCTACTTCAATAAATTAAGCCCTTTCTTAATTGTATCGTCCCTTTTCACGCGCAGTGTTATCCAGCACAGCTTTGCTGGCAAACGACGAGATCTTTCAATACCACCCTCCGAGTAATTTATATGTAAATAATAAAAAGCGGGTCCCAACACTGCTCCCTGCGGCACTCACCAATTAATCTCCTTTTAGCTTTTTACTGCCACCCTTTGTTTCCTGCCCTTCAGCCAATTTCCAGTAGACTGTGCCAACTTTCCACTTAGTCTGTAGCTTCATATCTTTTATATTAATAACCTGTGATGCAGAACAGTTTCTCAAACGTTTTCTGAGAAATCAAAGTGCTCATGCAAGACCATCTACTGCGTTATTATTATTTTTTTAATTCTCTGGTAGACATAACCCTGAAGGACTTCAAGCCACTACAGTGTGATGTTTGCTTCTTGAAACCACCTTGACTCCTTTTGATCATACTGTACTTCTCCAAGTATTTGCCTCGCTTGCTCCTTTCAACGGTGTAATTCCTAAAGATTTCTCCTGAATCTAAAACATTCTCCTTTGACGCATTTGTGGAATTGTCAGAAAGATTTTACTAACACAATGGAACAAGAAAAATTCTCCTTCATCACTTTCTTATCACTTGCTGTGGCGGCTGGCTTTGGGTTCATCGCTGGCAAGGGCCAAATACTGCTGTCAGAGCCACACCTCTCCCCACCAAACGGCTGAGGTGCCGTTCAAAACATTTCAGGATGAAATTCTACTTTTCAGCTGCAATGAGGTGGCCCTTGCTGAGCTTTAAAAAGCAGAATTTCCTGCTAAAAGCTTTCAAATGAACTGTTCCATTATGAAAAATAAATATTTAATTCCATGCCAGAGAGCCTCAGCCATGGCTTGCCTGCTTTGTGCTACTCCAGTTCATTATAAAAGGCTCAATTCTCTAGAGCTCACCAACCTGCAGAAGTCCTCCAAGTCTCGTCTCGTAACAGCTGAGCCACTGAATCCTGATTGCATTTGTCAGTCTTGGCTATGTGACTTCTCCTCCCATAGTCTGGCACTCTATCAAAGTATCATTTCACACCACCCTCAAATTACTTTTATATGCCTATTTCTGGATGTAATCTCAGGGATGCTTACCTTTCCTTTAGCTAAATGTTGGTGGACACGGCATACCAGAGCTTTGTCACGCTGGAAGTAAAATGTTCTGAAAACTCACCACGTTATCCCCAGCTTGGGAAAGGACACTGTAATTACAGCACAGAAACAGAAGCCAGAGGACTTGGATCCTCCCTCTGTCACGACTCACTGTGCGCCTTAATTTCCTGTGCCTCCCCTTTTCCAGGTCTGGAAACCAGACATTGTGCTTCCCTACCTCTATATAAACAATTTGAAATTCAGTGCTGCACAAGGGCCAAATACGACTGCTGCCTGATGCCACTGCCTTTACTTCTAAGTGCCAAGCTTCCCAGATGGCAGCATAAAGACCTTGTTTCTCAGTGCTGGTTTCTGTGCAAGGTGCACTGTCCACGTATGGACAGAACAAGTCAGGGAAAAACATGAGGAGACAGAGCACTGTGGGTCTCTCTGGGAAGAGAAGGAAGAGAGGAGATTGAGAGGAGGAGGTGCAATGGAAAGCAAGTTGGAGCATATGTTACTTCCTAATAAAATCCAGGGCTTTTTTTTGCCAGTATCTCTAAATTGAAGGGCCTAGTGCTCTGTCTTTCCTCCTCCTGCCCTCTCGTACATTTCTGCTGAATTTAGCTGTGAAAAGAATGTGGAAACAAAGCCAATTTTGCTTCCCTTTTGTAAAGCAGTTAAGAGATCCTGAAACGTGGATAGCATATGAACTGGATGTCATATTCCAGAATTTGAACATGTACAGACACTCCACACAAATCAGAAAAGCCCATGAGAAGCTTTGGTTTATACACAAATACTGCAGCAGCAATTGGCAGAGATGATACTGCTGAGATACTGTGCTGCAGCCATTACATACCCCAGAAATTCTGGGTCTCAGCATGCCAGAAAGAAAAATAAATAGGTAGAATTGCATCATTTCTCTGGCACTAAGCAAATCCATCACAGTGATGGCTGAGGAGAACAGGAGCCAGGAGCAGGTCCCAAGTGAGGGATATCACACATTTAAAGAGGGGAGAGGGAAAGTACTAGGTTGACAGCCAGGAAGCATGAAGAAGGGGCTGTCTGTAGATCTCTCTTTTTTCTTTGGGGCCAGAATCTCTCAGCACTTTTTTAATTTTTATTTTTGAAGTCTCAAAGGTGTTCTAAGCAAGGTTAATTTAATAACTTGGTTCCTTCCTAGCAGTATTATGTCATTTGTGTATTCTCATTCTCTTGCGCTGCTACAGCAAGCAATAAATTCAAGGTCAAATACTGGGTATGGTTAAAACTCCAGCAAGACAGTTGACAGCTCTCAGCATTTGGGCCATGGAAGCAAAGCCTCCTCTTTTTGTGCTGACATCAGATGGTTTGCCCTTGCTTAATATTTTATGAAAAGTATGTGTCATCTGTTCCTTAATGTAGGAACACGAATGCAGTTACAGAGGGAAAAAAAAAAATCGAGGTTTGCACGTTTTTTGTTAACAAATACATTCAAATCCCTTTGGAAGGCTTGATGTCCTTCACTACAATGTCCCTGGTGGTCAAAAACTGAATTGTTTGTGGCAAGACAAATCAAAAGGATGGAGGCATTTAGAACTACCCCTATCACAAATACTGCATAATCCCCTTGTTATGTCATCACTTGGGAATGCACATTGCCGTTCCTGCCATTATTTGGTGTTTGCACAAAACCCTCATAAAGAATTAAGAACTGGAGGTGAAGAAGCAGACAGATGGAAGCATAAAGCACTCTTCCAATCACTCTTGACGGTTTCCTGCTTAAGAGTTGTTTTGCTTTCCTCTCTGTAACACAGGATACTATGCTACTGTGGAAGACATCCAGTGCATCCTTCTGGATAACACAGATTTACGTCAGCTTCTGTGAAGGCAGTATGATCCAGGCCTCAAGGGGAGCTGGAGCACGTGAAGGTGGGCAGAAATGAGTGTCTTTCACACTGAATGGTGAGGCTCCAGGGTAACCATAGACTAGGGAGGGAGAAGGAATCAATGCTCTGCCAGGGATGTGCAGCAACCAGAGGCAGAGCACACAGCTAGGGAACTTACAACTTTCTATTACGTGGATGCTACTAAGATGCTGCACCTTTGGGAAAGGCAGCATGATACATACCTGGATTGGACCACAATCAGAACAGACAATTTGGGAAGAACAAATAAGCACATTAAGTATACTTGTTTTTCTCTCACAAACCAGATAGTTGAACCTTGGCTGTTTTACCTCAGGAGATGAGGACAGGAAAGGTTTGATGTATATATTGGAGTCGTGAACTTTCAGGTCATGGTCTCCTAGTCCTCGAGTCACTCCAATTGTTGCCATAACTCGAGCCTGGAAACAAAGAAAAGCAATGGGATCAAATCTTGTTACTTGTGCTGTGTCAATATGGACTGAGACAATGTTAGTGCTACAGTTAGGGATGAATTCCCTTTTTTCTCTCAGAAAAACTAGATTTAACACAGCTAATCAACTTCTGAGATTTTCACACTCATGTCATCTCCATTCCTCTCCTTATGCCAAGTTTTGTACTGGTTCACATTCCGGTCTGCGTACACCCATTTTAGACTGGCCATCCGTAAGGTACAAGGACTATGGAAACCTAACCTTGCCTTGTTGTCCGATTCCAGTCTACAAGAACACTCCTTCAGCAAATTATACTGTTAGTAAACAGGTTTTATAAAAAGGATGAGGAGCTTTATTACTCACATAACAAACCTGCGGCCTCTTCCTATTAATATATGGCGGTATATTCCCTCCATCAAGGAAAAGTGCCAAAGGCCACCTTAAATTGCTAAACACAAAGGTGACAGTCGCACTGACCACAGTGCTCTCCTCTGTGGTGCACCAGTCCGGGGCAGGTCTGCTGTTGCCTTTGTTCTGCCACTTCCCTAAGCACCTTCCTCTGCTACAAGAGCTGTTTTCCCAAGAGGTACTGGGCTCTTCTTCCTTAACACTTTTCCAAAGATTCATCAGGTAGACTGCCTTGTAGGGAATCTTGCTCTCTGTATATCGCTTCCCCCAAACTCTAGTTTAGCCGCAGCAGCTTCTGAACAAGAGAGCTCACAGCATCAACAACAGCAAGCAACTGACTCAAAATTATTTTGCCTCACCCCTGGCTCCATAAGGCAATAAGAAAGTAAATTAAAAAGATGTGGATGAAACATTTTGCAAACAAATTTGGAGATAAGCTGCAGGTCTGAACCTTCAAAACTTGGACTAATTTTGAAGAGTGTGTATTTTTGCATTGAGATAAGAACCTAATGCAGCAGGGGAGCACTATTTAGAAACACAGCGAGCATACCAATATCGGCAAACTGACACCACTGCGTCCTTATATTGATCCTACTGCTGCATCCAGCTAAGCTTGCTGGGATCAGCAGTAATGATCTCACCGTTCTTAATCACAGAGCTGGAAACAAAGTACACCAAAATGGAACGGTTCGTTTCTCCCTTTCAAGAAAAACTATCAGCATTCACATCAGAAAAATTCAACAGTGAGCTCACGTACACTAGCTGAAGAAGATACGGTTAAGGGGTGTTATACTTTCCAAATCCTGCCCTGATCGCTCCCCTTCTTAAATTAGGGGTTTGCATCTCAGAGCACTCCAAAAATGTTATTAAATATCCTCCTGCTCTGTTTTCAGCAAACATGAGGTATTTTGCTATCTTCACCCAGCCTAGTTATATTTTACAATGAAGCCAGGACATTTAAAGTCAATTATTTAAGATGGTCTCATTGTAGCCTACTTAAAATGAAAGAAAAACAAAAGCAAACTGAACAGCAAATGACTATGTTTGCTACAAAAATGCTTTTTAGTATGTTGAGCTCCCCCCGACGCCCCCCAGACATGAGACTGATTTATGACCGAACCAAGATATTCTTTCAAGCTGTCAAAACAATAAAATAAAGAGATACTGAGTGGGAAACACTGGACTGCCACAGGCTAAACCAAGTGGTAAACAGCACAGAATTCCTTCTTCCTTTGGTCTGAGGAAAGCAAACGTGCCCACCTTCTTGCCTTCTCCGTATATAAGGGGAAACTTCAAGTCATCTTCCTCAATGGTTTTGTATGCCCTGTGGGGAGAGGACAAACAACATTTATAAAGCTTGCACTCAATTAGTGACCCAGTGCCCTGAAACAAGCAGCTGTGATTTGGAAAAAAAAAAATAAATAAAAAATTTCTTCTTCCTAGGGACTCTGTCTTTGAACCAAGATGTAAATTTATTTTTCTGTGGAAAGATTTTCCTTAAAGAATTATCCATTTCAACAACAGGAAAAGTGAACATGAGGAAATATCTAATACGCCAAGCTGCTCCTATTGCTTGCAAGGAAAAAGAGGTGAACTGGAATAACATCCTAATCAGGTAAGATATCATTGGCTATGGCAACAGCTATACTGTAATACAGTGTCATAAAAAACCCCAACCAAACAAAAAAATCCACCAAGAAGTTAACCAACGACTAGACTCACACTGTTACCGTGAAATGGTGAGCACTGACAGGATGTGTACACAGTAGAAGTGTGAAACGGCTCTCCGATCCTGTTCTCACCTTTCGGGACTGCTTAAACCAAAACAAGCTTCATGTGCTGAAGAGTCATAGAAGGATATTTAGTGCTCATTTGACCTTGACTGCAACAGTCAAGGTCAAATGAGATTTCACGTTTCACAGTAGTTCTCCCACGGCCAAGAGAAGTAAATGCTCATGCTCTGATTCTGTTTACCACATGCCTGCATACTCTACCTTTTACACATCCAGCTGCTGACACTGATGAGGTGAGAAGGTGAGCAATTTTGCCAGGGAGAAAAAAAAAAAAAAAAAAAAAAGATGGCTGTCATTCTCATAAGCTGTAGAGTAGTTTGTATAACACATGATCGAGTCGAGGTGCTGGGGAGCCTCTTTAGTTGAAGTACGTCACTTCCCAGAGGGACACACTTCCCTTCATACCACAAAATTGTCCCTCCCCATCCTTTCCCTGCAAGTTGCCCTTCCCTCCCAACTCACTCCGGCCCAAAGCCCTCAGGGTGATACCAAAATCATCCCCTGAGTGCATGAGTCAGTGCTCCGGCCAAAGCGGAAGGGACATGAGGGAGGAGGGTCTCCTGCCAGCCGCCGCCAGCCCCTGCTGCGTGGCTCTCCAGCTGGGCTGGCTGCCTGAGCTCCGGGGAGTCACATTCGATCAGGTTTAAGCAATGTTAAGGCTGTGACACAAACCAGCAGGAAATTAAAAATTCAGAGCAAAATCCTATATTGTAATCAAACTGCACCCTGCTTCACTGAAACATGGCATAGACCTGGGATCAAGAAATGGTGGTGTATTACATAGCTATACATGCTGCATCACCTAGGCAAGCCTCAGACTTAAAGAGAATAGCATAGACATTTAAGCCCCACCTTTACATTTCCCAGTAATCACAGCTAGGGTCCATATTAGAGTTTGGGGTTAGGGGAGGGGTAGGAAAAAGGAAAAACAACCAAAACACAAAGAAGAAACTAGTGGAGGACTGCGCTCCCATACTACAAAACATTACTATGTCTGAAATCCCAAAATGGAACCAAGCGAGGTTTGCAAAACACAGTGGGTGCTTCGTGGAAGACCACGTAGTCAAGAATATCCTGGGTATATAACCATGATACTTGGGCATCTCCATAAGAGACCATACAGCGAAGTACTTTGTACAAGGGAGGGCAAACAGATTAGCTCTTAAATCAAGCAAAAAGGCACAAATAGCTACAAGTAGCCAGCATGATAGCAATTCCCTGATGTTTAAATCCTGGAATAGCATTTTGTTGGGAAGGACGAGCCAGTCACGGACTTTGCTCTTGTTCCTTCTTTTATTTCCACCAGGGAATAGCCAACGCGTCTGCCTCACTCACCAACTTAGATATCCTGGCTTGAATGTGGAGGAAGAATTTTAGCAACCCTGACTGCTCACGAACATGTCCCAAAGGTTCCAGTTAGACCTACTGTGCTGGGAGCCCTGGCAAAACCTCCTTGAGGAGGAGTCTGAACTATTTCCTATTCCTTGCATAGAGCCAGTTGTGCTCTGGCATCAAGAAAAAGGGTATCAACTGAGTCCATGTTGGCCATCAGAGTCAAATGACTCATCAAACCACAAGCCCAACAAGACAACCACTCATACTGGATTTTCAAGTTGTTGTACAATGTTTGTTACAAATAGCAAACGACTAAGTTGATGTGACTTAACTATTTGCAACTCCTTTTTTAAAGGAGAAACCAAACCCATTCTTTACCCATAAACAATATTATCGGCAAGATAACTACAAATACTTAAAGACTGAAGCCCTCACTTTACACTGTCCTGTAAGCAGCCAAAAACAAGGATCAAGTTTTATTACCTCTGTCTCCTCCTTCCTTATATTCTCCTGCACAGGAACTCACGTTGAGTGTACTTTAGGAAGAAGCAGAAAAAGAAGGGGTGAAAAAAGCATCATGTAGGCCAGTATCCTTCAAAAGAATGGTCCCCACTGCCAAGTCCAGCATCTTTTATGGAAGCACCACAAGGAATATTGTCCCTAGGGCCTTCAACTGTGACACGATGGTGCAAAAATGCTGGATGAGACTGTGTTGCAAGGTCTGAAGCTAACTTGTTTCATCAGCAGATTAGGAAGGGCAGTTGGCTAGCCTACGACCTCCTGAAGCGATGTGACTAAGTGAGGGAGGCCCAGAGGGCTACAGTGATTTGTTTTGTGGTTTCTCACAGCAAACCACCTCTTGGACTCACAACTTGGGTGTCAAGACTCATCTCAAACATGCTTTTTCTGTTGATGTTGCTATTGCCTGAAAAATTGTTAGCATTTGAAAAACAATGCTCAGAACTGCAACCGCAGCAGTGGAGCTGGCACAGACACACTGAAAAGCAACCTGAGACACTCTAGAAAAGTACCTATGTCCTGCATTAGTAGCGAAACAGAATTAATAATATATGAGCATGTGGTTTGCTTCAAGAGAAGGATGAAGGACAGCTTTTCAGCCAGCAGCTCAGCAACTGCACTGGGGAGAAGGAAGGAAGCAAGCTATGAAGTTCATTTTGATTTCTGCCCTCTGAAACCTCCTGTACTTCGTACGTGTGTATTTCACACAGGCTACAAGCTTCTGCACTACTTCATTTGATTTTATGTAATAAAGTTGCATTTATATCTTCCTGTGCTGTTTGGAGTGTGCTGTATATAAAGATATAATATGGCAGTAAGTATATCAAACACAGGCATATGGAGAACCTGAGGGGGTTGTTTGGCTTTTTTAGTGCCAACATGGCCTTATTCAGCCACCTACGTAATTCAGCCCAGCTCACTCTTTCAATAAACACAGGGCTGCAACCCTCCACTCTCCCCATCTTCCTCATCTGCATGCCAGGAGGTCTCAGTGGCCACCAAGGCATGACAAGACAGGTTATAAAGACAAGGCTATGCTACTGCTTGCTGCTCTGAATAAGACTAAATCCTGTCAAGTGCTTCTGCCACGTAAACCTCTATTTTTCCAAATGGAAAAACAGGGGGGCAGAAGGGGGAGTAGAAAAGGCAAGCTTGTGCCCAGCTAGATCTAGCTGAGGTTTTTATTTTTTTCAGTTAACTTCATTTCTTCTTTTCATTTCAAAAGAATTATGAAATGCTACTGCTGTCCAAAAATACTGAACTAGGGCTTGACATATGTACCACCCACAAAGTTACATTTGGACTCAAGATCAACATTTTGGAAAATGGGGCCAAATCGCACCGGGAGCCAAAAGAGATGTCAGAACGAAAGAACTAGGACTGACATGATGTTACTCATATGCTAACTGGAATCTGCTCTAAATACATGGCAAAAAAAAAATCACCAGAAGCTGCTAAATGCAGAAGACAATCTACGGAAGAAATTTCCTACAGTGCTGAGGTCATTAGCAGTGCTTTAGGCACTCTTTAAATCAAAGATTACCAAAGTTACCTGCATATTGCTGGGTCAGAACTTGAAAAACTGGTCAACTCCCAAATACAGATTTCAGAGCCAAAATCCTAGATAATTTCTTACATGTATTACGCTTTTTCCTGCTATATAATTTGTTCTTAAAACTGGCCTTCTGAAAGCACATACAAATTCATGTAAGAGTAGAAGTTGTCGATGACCAAAAAAAAAAAAAATTAAAATCTGCATTATATTTTCTTTTACAGCAAACAGCATAAGATTACTGGTCATGAAAAGTATTGTGTTGGCATCCCCAGGCACAACAGATGGTGGCAAAAACACAATCTACCCTGACCTGGAAGGCTCAGTTCTGAGAGCGACAGGGGAATCCAGACTCTCTGCTCCGCTTTTCCATAGCACTTGGCTTTAGAAAGTTTGTCTGTATTTCACATCTCTGCTAGTGACACCTGATAGTAAACTGAGAATTAAACTTAAGGAAGAGCAAAAATAATTGTCCAAGTGGTTTAGCTTGAAGCATAGAGCAAAAGCCACTTGTGGCAAGCAAGAAAAAGCACTATGTCTTCAGAAATGTCCTAGTTCACACTGAGTACAAGGATGAAGGCTCTCCTTTGAGACAGATTTGTGGATTTGGTGTATTTCTAGTACTGCTTTGCTACCGCTCTGTCAAAAAACCCAAACCCAGAACCATCCCCAAACACCCTCCACCTCCCCTAAAAACCCTCACAACAAAACTATCCCAGCCAACCAACCAATCTCCCTTCCCCCAAGCTCAACTTTCTTTGTTCATACCAATACAAAACCAGAAAACACAAAACTTGATATAAATTAGGTTTTTTTCCCCTCCCACACAAGGAATGAGTGTACTGGAGCTCACCCTTTGGATAACAGAGTTTAAATCAGCAACCCAGAAGGAACTGTTTCTCTGTACTGTCTATTGAACTACAGGCATCAAATCAGTATAAGCGCGTGCTTACTACCAAGAAGAAAAGATGTGTAGCGCAGGTTAGGCACAGAGCCACTGAAAATTATGCAATTTATGTCTCGACCCAGACATAATTTTTAAAAACGTCTTACACATATGTGCTTCTGCAGAGTCAGGATCTCTAAATCCAGACAGCACCGTCTGATACGAAGTACCCTCTAGGT